TGACACCTGTCACAGGAACACTTATCTACCACAATGCTCCCAATAAGAAGTCACTGTTTATTCACTTAACATATATGATACCTTTCCTACCCCTTCTAAGAATTTCCAGGTGTTTTCCTTACATTTTTAGTCTTTGGTGCACTTTTGCCATGTAAACCTTCAACTTCCTGACACCATGTTAAAACTGATACTCTCCGAAGAGAATGTTCTCTTGCTTCTACTTCATGTATTATTGTCAGGTTTTGCTGTTTGTTTGATTTTTAGTTTTCCTCCTTTGTTTTCTTAATGTATCTGTGTGCTGGGAGTGTTCTTGTGCTTTGCAATAATACATCTCTTTGATAAACTTACTCTGTATCTTTTCTTGGGTTTTTGTATTTTCTAAGATAACCTTTCACAACTCTTTTTCTCTGGGACTGATAAACCATGTGGGTTTGATGTAAGTGCAGACTGCCAGCTGCTGGCAGGCCGAGAGGAGAGATTACCCTGCCTTTGCCTTGCGTTTGCTGCTCTTGCCCCAGTCTACTGCTGCCAGCTCCATCCAGAGTGGGGGTACCAGGATGGATAGCTCGGTCTGACCCTTTTAATTTTCTCATGCAACTTTAAATCCCTCATATTTGTTAACATTGAGGCGTATGTGGGAACATTGTCATGTTGTGTCAAGGGGTTGATTCCACCAGGATCTAAGAAATGCCAGTACATCCACGTGCCTTATCCCCATGTCTCTGTGACACTATCCCTGAGACTCTGGATGCAGCAGTGCTGGCAACCAGAGGCTCAGGCCAGCCACAGAAAGCAGTACCTCTTCCCAAGGCAGCCTCAGATGTTATGATCTTCCTTTCTTCTAAATACACCACCCTTCTGTAATTCCTCTGGTTCTCATGGTGCAGAGGAAGGATCTGAGTGGGGCTCAGGATTGCCCCACACGGGGCACTGCAGCTACCTTGTCAGCAAAAGACTCTTTTCCTTTTTCCCTCTTATTTCAGTTGCCTGCTCTCTTAGGTTCAGTGATCACATCTGTTAGTATGTTGGGATCTAATGACACACAAAAGGAGAGGTAAAAAGAGCCTTTCATTCTGAAATTACTTTACTTGTCCAGAAGCCTGGTTTATACTGCCACTATCTGTCCACCTTACCTGCTGCAGCCCTTCCTGCAAACACACACAAAAACAGTTCATGCAAATTTTCCCACAGCTGCAAACTGTTTGCAGAAGGAAGTGAGAGACATTAAGGATTTTGTTTTATTGCTCTTTCTGTGTTGGAGAATTTGATTAGGCATTAATCAGTTAAAAATAATTTTTACATTATCATGTTTTTTCTACCCATGTTTTAAGTAGGTATAAATGTCTTCTAACAAATCTTTACATGATTCTGCCTCCATTCCTCATCTTCTGAACCCCATTTTGAGCCTTTGCCAGTGATTCCCAACTGAGCAGCCCTTTCCAGCTGGTGCAGTTAGGCAGGTTTGCAGCCCCAGGCTCCTCTACACCCTCCTAGGGATCCTTGACAGCCCCTGCCTGCAGCAGTTTGTGCCATGCACATTGTTCTTAAAACACCTCATGGCCATTGTGTCTCATTGTAAAAAAGAAAATTAAATCCATAGTAAGCTTAGACTCAGATCTACAAACATATTCATGTTTTTAAATTATATCAAAACCAGAGAGGAAATGTGCTTCTCCTGAGGTCACTGAGGTTAAGGCGACGGAAATGTTGTAAGAGGTCCCCATCATCTTGAATCTCACTGCCTTTGGTAGCAGGAACTGAAGGTGCACAGCCTCCAAACCCTGCTGAGAGAGGCAGATAAAATGCCTTGGTCAGAGAAAGTAACTGAACAATTTGGGTTTGAGAAATGCAGAGGGTTTTTAATGCTGTGCACAACAGCTAGAATACTTAGATGGGATTAGTTTTGTTTCTATCTGTCAGAATCCAAATCTACATCTTCTGCTTCCCTGCAAAGCCTCCTATCTGCCACATTAGAGGCCGCCTTGGGCAAGAATGCTCTTCCCTCCACACTTGCCAGGTGTGATTTTCCCATCAGAAAAAAGTGCACTTTATTATTCATTAGAGAGAGTAGGCTGGAAAGGAACGCCCAATTCTCCACAGATTAGGTTCACAGGGAAGGGAAAACCTAGAAGTCCAATTCCTACCTGAAAGAAAAAAAGAGGTTTTTCACATTTTTGCTAATGACTGTCTTGGGTGTTTGCCCTGTAAGCTCCATGTCTTGATGCCTAAGAAAGTTAAAGAAGTGCCTGCTGACACCTGTCTGCCGTTCTGTGAAGGCACAGGCACCTTTCCTAGAGAAGGACAAGGTTGCTATTCCCCTTATGGAAGAATAGGTGGAGACGTTAGCCCTTATGTATTTCTGCGATGTAAGTTTAGTATTTGGTAAGGCACAGCAGCTGTGTTGCAAATACATGGACAAGAATCTCACTTCTGACCATTCCTCAGAAACTGATTGCTCAGTAGCAAAGGCACTGAAAACTGCAGAGTGCTCAGAAATAAGGAGCTGACCTGACTAATATGAGCTGTGGAGATGGGGCTGCACAGTATTCAGCACTACTGCCCAAGTTTTGAGGATGGACAGGCTCTTCTCTGGTGTGTTTTTGTTTTCCCGAATTCTTCCTTTATCATGTACCACATGGAATTTCTAAATTTCCCTTCTTCACTCCCAAGAGTTGTTTGTTCCAATCCCCTTAGGCTTGCTATTTGCAAGTGTGTACAGAAGTTTAACCCCCTGTCTTTCTGAAGCCTGCTGTGTCTTTGCTTTTTTTAAACACCACCTCTGTCAAATAGGAAGTATCCCTACTTAATGCCAGCCATTCCTCAGCAGAAAGACAAGTGTAAAAGGCATGAGAAGAGAGCAGCAAACCCCAGACCAATGCTGAGCAGGAAAAACCTTTATGCTTTGGGAGCCCTACTCGCTGGGCAAGCCCCAGCTTAGGGAGTCATCAACTTTTGTTAGCTCTTATTAGCAAGCAGGCTCTTTCAGTGCTCTCCTATTCCCCTCCAAAGCCATCCTACCACACCTCTACAGCTTTCTCTTGATGCTTTTTTCTCTGTTTAGTTTCTGATACTCTAAAGTTTTCCTGTGAGAATTCATCTATTCTGTTTCAAGATACCTGGCTCTACTCTGCTTGTAAGGATCCCCCATCTCATATGTTGTATAAACTTTTATACATTCCTCAGCTTCCACGGAGCAATCACTGAGCAATCAATTTCTAAAGTCTTTGCCTGACTGGTTGTCTTGTTGGATTAGGACAAAGTGTATGAAATACATAAATGCTTGATATTGTATTAAGAAAGAAGACTTTTTCAAAATTCGGAACTATTTCCTAATGTTTCATAAATTCACGTAAGGAGTAATTTGCTTTTTAAAAATGTGTTTTATAAATACTCCCTCAAGTGCAGCAGTTTGCAATTTAAAAGTTTGTATTAATAACTCTTTTTGTTTTCTCAAAGCGTACCTTAAGTTCAATCTCAATTAACCACAGAAAAGGTAAAAAAAAATTTCTAACTTTTCTGGAGCACAAATAACCTAATATTTAGCAGCTGGCAGCTGTGGTGATTACTTTTGGATTATATCTAAAGTCTGCTGGAATCTAATTACTGTGATCTATGAACCAGGTAATTAAGGTAAAAACTCCCACATTTTCTTATACCTCATTAATGTATTTCCTTTGAAAATTGTTAGCTAATGACGGTACATTAAGAGTTTATCCATTACATGACAATGAATAATTAACACCTTTGTCCTGGGACATTAAAGGACAGAATGGTGTTTGACTGCTCAATGTGATGATAATTGTTTCTTAATTTACAGTGCAAATATCATGCAAGTTTGGGGAGAAAGGACGAATCAAACCTGGAAAATGGAACGTAAGTAAATTATTTCTTTTCATAGAATTGCAGAAGGATTTGGATTGGAAGTGATCTGAAAGTTCATTTGGTTCTAAGCCCACTGCTGTGGGCAAAGACATCTTTCATTCATTTCCTACTTTCCCAAGAAACTTCAAGCCCTGTCTGCGTGCAGGACCCCTGGCTCACTCCCCACAATCTCTGTTTTCAAGTTATAACTGATTCCAAATATGTATTATTACCCCGAAGACTGAGATCAACACTTGGGTTTGACTGTTCCAGGTACTGGGAGTGCAAACATTGCAAATACAGCTTTTCCTCAGTAACCAAATCCAATATATGACACACTGCAACAAGTGGATTAGACATGGGGCAATGGAAAAGCAACCTGTGGTTATACAGGACACATAAATCATATAATCACATAAATTCACATATAGATCAAAGTTTTCTTGAAGAAAGTGAAATGAATGAAGTACAAGAAATCTCTGTTGTCATGTAAAAGCCGGTATGGAATAAATTAATTTGATTCAGGTCTGCTTGGGACTGGCTCTGCTTTACCATGTGAGGCATGTACTTGTTGCAAAACAGCATAACAAGGGAATCTATCTGTACTCAAGTATCTAATCTGAAAAGCCTGAAAGCTTCCAGTTTGATTGCAGCTGCTCTGCAAAATAGCAGCTTTGCTGGGAAACAGTCAAGGCATTACTTTTAGACCAGAACTTCAAAAGAAAGGTTTCTCAGGATCATCTGTTAGACCATCAAGTAATTAAATATCTAGTGGAATCCCTGCCTAGAGGGAAAAAAAACCCCAGTCTGAAACAGAATATATTTTGCTTTTAATTTTGTCTCCAATTAGGATACATTATTTATAAAGCCACAAAAAGTAGTAAAGCAAGATTTTTTTGGTGAGGTTTTTTATTTATAAGGAATTGAGTTAAACAAATGAGATAATTAGGAAAATTAACGTTAAAAATATTGATTCCATATGAGGGAGAGAAACGCATGGCTACTCAGGAAATCCTGCTCTAAGAAATTACCAAAGCCAGATTACCAGACACATCTGCTAAAAGAATAAATCAATCCACCTTGGAACCGCTCTTTCTCGAGGAACTGGGAACTTTCAAATCATCTCCTTCCAAATAATCCTAAAATCCTATTAGGTCAAGGAGTTCGAACTTCTGGCTCAAAGGCAAGCTTTCAATCAGTTCTCGGCCCTTTTTTCTTCCTGCTTCTGTGGACATAGCCTTTTGCCAGAGCTTCAGCAGCAGTCCTCCTTGGAAAGAAACACAAAATTACATAGTCAATTTAGCATGGAGCGCATGCAGCTCGCGGTGTACAAAGGACCAAGTGCGTGTCTGGCAACAAGCACTCGACACTCTCCTGGGGACACAGAAATGTGGACAAAGCTGGAGCTTGCGGTGGGGTGATAATTACCTACAAGTGTGCAGAGAGACACAGACCATTCATTCAGTTCAGGATCTTTTGTATTGACAGACAACGGGGCTTGTTCCCTTGTCACCAATGTTGCAGGTCGAAATGATTGAAGACTTATGGGAAGGTCTTTGTCTGCTCTGGCACGTAGCTCCGTGGTTTATGGAGCAGTAGCCTGGGAGTTAAAATCAGGCCTGTTTTCTTTTTCACTCTAAAACAAAAAGTGTTCACTTTCTGCCAGCTAAGACCTCAAGCTAAAGAAGCAAATTATCCTAATACTTTTTTCCAGGCGATAAACAGTGGCTCTCTAGGACATTTGGCTTGGCCAACCCAGCCTAGCATTAGCACCGGTTTGCAGGATAGTCACTGCTTACTCCTCACCCCACTCAGTGCTCATCTTTAGAGTGGATAGAGGGGAAATCTGAGAGTAAAAATATCTAGTGTAAGAAGAATTTATTCTCCTCCTGTTCTTCCTGTGGGTAAAAAGTTGATCTGACAGTCCATGAATAGAAAAGCTTTAGAAGCAGCACAACACTCTCAATACAGTTCCTGCTGGACTAGCAGGGGCAAGTGAACGAAAATAAAGAGTAATCAAGCTCTGAATCAAGAAATCAAGTCTCACTCTGGGTTGGACAGTGTCTCGTCCTAGGAGGTAATAAGACCCTCTAGCTGCTGTTGAAGTTTGTAGTACCAGTAGAGAATCCTGTCACAGGATGTACTTAAAAGCATCTACAAAACCAGTATATTTTGTCACCTGTGTTTTGTAGCACTAAGGTAGGGTCTTTCAGGTCCCTGATGAGGCTGTGGATTTAGATGCAGTCAAATTTATTTTAAGGCTCCTTTTTCTGATCTGCAAATCAGTTACCAGGCTGAATTAGCTGGCATTTAATTCTCAGCTGAATTCAAAGCTCATCCCTTAGAGCGAAGTCAGGGAAATCTCTACCTGCAAAATAAGGGATTTCAGCTATAGGATTCATTATGGCTGCACCTGCATGAAACTTATCTCTCTCTTCTTCCATTTATGTTCAACATCCATGCATCTTTCCCTCTCTCCCTGCAGTGCTGTCCTCACTTGATGTGCTACCCTGGTGCTCTCATCCCTCCTTCCTGTCCTTCTGGTCATGCTTTTCCTTGCCCTGCTCCTCTCCCTTCCTGGAGGTATGTCAAGAAACCCTGAACTGTGTCATAGGCTGCCAAGCAGGTGATAGATCTGTTCAGACCCTTATTCAGATTCTAAAAAATAATGCTATGTGAAAAATGTGAGGGAAGCACTCTGCGATGGGAAGATGCTCTTTCGTAGCACTGAATAGCTTTATTTCACATCTTTTTTCAGCTTTAAATCCAACTGGTGAGAGAATTTTCAGTGAAATGTACAGATAGAAGAGGATCACAAGTGTCATAGCTAGGCATGCCAATTTTTCATTCTTTTAATTTAAAGATTCAAAATAACTTTGCTTCATAAAGGTCAAACAAAAATAGCTAACCCAGAAGTAGCTATGAAAGAACTGAATCCCCAGGAGAGTGTAATTCTGTGTTGCACCACTGGATGGTGATGTACGACTTATTTTGGTGAATACGATGAACTCAGCATTGACTAAGGATACAGTTTTGCTGGGACAGATCTCTGTTAAATCAAAGACGGAGAGAAAACGAAAAACTGAAACCAGAACACTTGTGAGCACAAAAACTGATGATCATGATAATTTACTTTTTGTTTGTTTGTTTTTGTTCAACTGGTCTAATAATTTAATTTACAGTCTTAATGGTTTCAGATTCAACTGACAAAAAAAAGTCTGTTTTTAAAGTTCCTGTGAAAATTGGGAAAAGAAAGAGTAAGATCATCTGCTCCCAAAATACTTTTTTTCTCACTGAAATCCCTCATATTGCCAGTGTTATCCCACCAGCATTTGCTGTCTGGTGTGTGGTTTGTTTATGGTTTTATTTTTAATTGTTTTACTGTTAGTTTCTAAGATGTGTTTATGCTACTTTATATCAAATATTCACTGTATTCATAAGGAGAGAGGTATGTAGAGAGAACAAGATATTAAATATCTGTGGACAACAGACATCTGTAGGTCAGGCTCATACCTGTCATTTTATTTACTTTGTGAAGAGCTCTCAGTGACACCAGGACCTTATTTTGCCCTGGACTGAAATCACTAATGGATGGGAGAACATCCCCTTCAACAAGCATCCTCTGGGGCAGGAAAGCCTGGAACTCGTTTGTGGTCACTAAGTCTGTACTGAAGTGTGTGGCGGCAATGAAATCTACAGCATTAGCCCAGTCTTCACCAAAATGTGCTTCTGGATCAGAGAGATATTTTAAGCTGAAAGAGAAGAAAATAAAAATTGCGGCAGATAACTGAACTCTCCTGTAGAACACACTAGTTGATCATTTATCCCAAAGGTTTTTGCTCAGTATAAAATCCTGAGCAGCCTCAGCGCCAGTCACTTGAAGCCTCCTTAAGTACTTTATACCAAATTTCTCCTGGCAACCCTGCCTGTTCCCAGATTAAAAACAGCTCCTGAATCAGGCCCTGGCTCCCAGAAGGGAACCAGCATCTCATTTTAAGCCCAGAGCCTGACTGGACATTGCAGTTTGGGCAGCCATCTCTCACTGGTCATCCCACACTCTGAGAGAGAGGAAGGAAGAGAAGAGCCTAAAGAGTAGATGCCTAAGGTACAGGGGCTCATACAGACTTTGTTAGGATACCATCCTTCCAAAGAGGCCTGGAGGTGGAAAGAGCCTCCATGGACACCGCTCTATTCCCCTTACCTGTCCTGGAATTTGGGGAGTGCGTAAGCAATGGAGGAGGTGTGTGCCTTCCACATGAGGCCAAGGGCATCGTCCATTTTGAAGGAGGAGAGGCTGGCAGAGCTCAGAGCTTCGTATTCTGTAGATAACAGATACTGCAGCAGCAGGGAGCAAAAAGGGCAGAGAATGTGAGAGGAGGTTTAAACCCAATTCTTATTTTTTTATATAAGAACATACCTCACAAAATAATAAGCTAAAGGAATAGTTAATGATAGTTGCTGTTCTTCAACTTCAACATTGCAAAGGTTTTAGTCACATAATTTCAGTATTTGGTTACAGAAATTCAATGGACTTTTGCATCTGAGTGCCATGGAGTATTCAGTACTGAAATAGGGGACTCCTTATTATCTTAAAGAACTTATCTATGTTCTTTTGACCACAACTTTCTGAAAGTTTTCTGAAAAGTAAGAAAATTATCCTTGTTGTCATTATGGTTGTTTGAGTAGTCGATATTTTACAATAACTTCTGAAACATGATGCATGGGAAAAATGATCTTATGAAGACAAATCCAGTCTTATTCTTAAACCATCTACTTTCACACACAAGGGGAACTTACAGTTTAACAGTTCTGCTCATTATCAATTTTTTGACTATTAATAAAAAATATTGACTGTGGTAGTCTAGCTATAAAAATAGCTATTAAATCTATGAAGTAAGAAATATTGTTATTTTTGGGATTAGAGAACAGCTGAGTGAGCAGGAAAGAGAATATCTACTTGCATAAATAGGTGTACTTCTGAATGATGTTTCAGCATTTTCAAGTTTTTAGATGTTGAAAGAAATAAACAAACCTTATAAAACCAACCAAAGGCCACTTTTTAAGGGCAGTGTTCCACCTCACAGGCTTATTGCTAACATAAGCAGTATTGGAAGAATACAAATATAATTGAATACAAAACAGTGTCTTGGAACAGAGGCCAAAATACAGAACTGTCTTAAAGGAAGAGAAAAATTTTATAACTTTTAAAAATCCTGTCCTACTTCTCTCTGACTCACTGTATGTTATGCTTTCCATTTTTCCTGCTTGTTGTTTTTATATGAAGCTGCTATTGAAAACAAACTAAGCTCTCTAAATCTTAAAAAATGACAGTAATAATAGTTTTTAAAGGTAATATATTGGCATAATTTATGAACATGTTTTTTAAAAATTATTTACTTCAAAAAAGGCCTTCCAGTCATCCATGAGCTTGGGCATGCGAGACCGGCAGTCTTTAACGCTGTAACAGAAATCATCTTTTTGCTCTTCTGGTGGCAATATTTCTATCTCATATGGCAGCTGCCCAAAGAGACCAGCCTCCACTGCCCCCAGAAAGGGTATAATGGACAGATAGTAATTCATACCTGTAACAACAATTAAAAAGTAGCAGGTGTTAATCACAAGTGAATGAAAAATTCCCACATAAGAAAATGAACTCTCTCCCACACTAAACACAACTGTCTCAAATTGCCATGAATACAACTGTGTTCAGCAGTGGAATAGATGTATTGAAATGTAGTAAAGATGACACTTGTATTGATTTAGATATTATTTGTAGTGTTCATTTATGCATCATCATTTAAGAGCCTTGTATGAGTTTCCACTGTGCTTTACTTTGCAGGAAAGGAAAAAAACAAATGGAAAAAAGTTAGACCTTTGTAGGCTGTCATGGACAGGACAAGAAAAGTCTCTCAAATATTAATTGCAAACTAAGTATAGAAAAACTAAGGGGTTTTCCACAAGTATTGTTGCTATTAAAAATCCCTCTTCTATGTGCCCATGACCTATGAGAAAGGAAAATGTGATATTTTACTGGAAAATAATAATTTTGCTTCTAAAAAATATTTTACTCACTAAAAATTGCTTGGATGTTACCTCAGTTTATCTGTTTAGATTTATTTAATGATGATGGCTTTCTTTGGTCTCATCCATAAGTTGGAGCAGTCAGACCCAAAATATAGGAATTTCAGGCTCAGTTCTCACTGGTACCAAATGTTGTCCCCAGTGAGAGTGCCTACAGGACTATTTGATATTCCTCTCTTGAAAGGAGAATCTGAAGTTCTCCTCTTAGTTATATCCCCTTTGTAGAAATGAAGTTTAATAGTTTTGAGTGAAGAAAACCCTGGGGATCTGTTGTTCTCCCTCTTGGGTGGGTGCCTCTGAGCTGTTATGCTGAGAAGACATTTGCTCATGCGTGGTCTCAGCAACACAGACTGCACTGACATTTTGTACAAAATCCCAGCAGTGAGAACCAAAATTATCAAAACCTGAACACCCACCATGTATCCATGTCCTCCTAATGGGAAGCCATTGTTCCACCTTATGAGAGAAGATGACAAAATAAAGTTCACGAAGAGTGTGTGTGTTGGCTGTAGTTCAGCAGGGAGTGGCCTGCACACCTTAGGAGCAGGGATACTGAGGGATTTCAGTGCATTGCTCTAAGCAGGCGATGAAAAAAAAGGACGGAGCAGCATGGAGGTGCTGTGGTCATGGTCTGCTGAAATCAATGCAAATATGAAACAAAGGATGGAGCAACAGAGCAGTGTGGTGGTTATGCTCCACTCAAAACATGCAGCTAGCAGGAGCTAAGCTCAAGGAATGAACCAGACAGTAAGCAGAAGCTGGCCTTCACTTCATTATCTTGAAAATACATCTTGCTTTTCACACTCTACATATACTAATGACTGAAGCACCACATCAACATGAAATGTTACCAACTGTAACTTAACCTTCTCTTTTCTCTCAAAAGAAGCAATATAAATCTAACTAAACTGGGGAAGGAGGTCATAACTTCTGGGATCAGTCAACAGGTTGAACTTGTCTTCTTCCCCCAAAGGGATGCCTATTGGGCAAGAACCTCATTCTGTTCAAGCTAAATTATTATCTCTAGCTAGCTTTAATTGGAGATTAGAATTGGTCAATATATTTCTTCAAATTCATTTTTGCAATCAGTTACTATCAGCAGCAATCTCTGAACCTTAACCTGTCACAGCGTTCAACTATCAGTGTCTTTGTAAATAAAGCGTGTTAGTCAGTACACTGTTTAGTGTGAGTCCTTCAAGAGCACTAAGGGAGGAGTGGCCAGAAGCAAATAAGATACTTGACAAAACTGGAAATATCTACCAATTCCAAATGGGAACATTGTTGGTGTGTGACCCTAAACAGGTTGGCCAAACCACGCTCCATAGAGTGAACTGTTTGGTGGGATCCCCATAATGGGGCACTGAAAGGCTGGTCAGGCACAAGGGTTTCAACTTCTCTGGGGGTGCTGACTGAACAAATATAAAGGGTTATATATAAAGAGAAACCCCTTGTCTCATGTGACACAGCTCCTAAATGTGGACCTGGTTGGAAATTCAGGAGAAAATGTAAGGCCAGTCAGAAGAGTAAAGGAAAACTCTCAAGTGATGAGAAGACAGTGTTTCACTGAGACTCATTACTGAACCGGCTCTTGCTTCTTGTTCACTGTTTTCGTAAAAAGTATGGAAACCTTGATCTCACATCACAAAGTTCTTATATTCTTTTAATTGTTCTTGCCTATATTATATGTTTGCACCTGCTTGGGTGACTTAGAGGACATAAAACAATACAGGACAGGACTAGACTAAATATTATTCTAGGCAAAGAGATTGATATTCTTAAAGCAGGTAGTATCCCATACACCCAAGGTATATTCAATGTGAGTTTCTGGTTTGAACTCGTTCCTGGTTTCATGTGACTGCTTCTGCCAGAGTGGGCTGCTCTGAAGGCCAGCTGAAGGTTTTCATATCCTCAGAACACTGAGACACGTTTCCATGAAGTCTCAAAGACCCTTTGCATGTTCTTGTTTCAATAGGATAAATCAAAGCTGAGTTTATACATTTTCTGGAGGCAACAAAATGGATATCAAGCAAACATGCAATATTTAGAAGTAAATGAAGAGCAGGAATTCAAGCACTGAGAAAGTAAAAGTGGTAGATTCTCTTCCAGGAAGGTCCCCTGCTTGCAAAGGGCTATGCAGCGACTCTTGTTACCTGACACTGTGTGGGACACCATCCCACAGAGCACTAGTGCTATCCAAACACAGAGAGGGAAAACCAAAGCTGAAGTGAGTACCACAGTCAGTTTTATCCTATGTTTACATTTTTAATTTTATCTATGCTTATGTCTTTGTTCACTTGAAGACTTATACATTTAACTGCTGATTTGCAGCCAAAAGCTTAATTCAAATGGCCACTGAAGGAAAAATGTTCCTGTGCAGGGAAGGGACAGAGCTGCTTGCTCAAACCTACTGACAGGTCTGGGGAAAAGGGGAACTTACAACTTAACAGAACATCAAGGAAGCTGAGGGAGCAAGGGACAAGAGTGATGGAGGGAAAATATGCTAAGGGAAAAAGAACCAAGATATAGATATAAGAATCACAAAGATTCCTGCTTGACATTTTCTCATAAAGTTTTCATTTGAAGTGCAAGCACCTAAATGGAAGAAATCTGCTCTGGACTAATTGTACAAATATATATACCTGTCATAATGTTTCCCACACATTTTCACGTGAATATTTGCAGTATGAGTATTTTTAAGGCTGCAAACTTTTTTCCTCCTTCCTCAAGTTGTCAAAATCAATTAACTTTAATTTACCCAATCACACTTAGGTGTCTTGTTGCAAGTTTGTGATGGAGAATTACATAGCACTGAAATGATAATGTAATAGAGAAGTCTAAGGGGAAGAAATATTTTCAGATGGCTTTCTAGGACACTAATTTATTTTGGAGAAGAACAGTGTGACAGCATATACTTACAGGACCACCAGCTTCTTACAGATTGGCACAGGATCTCTCCATTTTCATACCCACAGGAAGTCACACCAGAAGGATCTGCTAACCTACCTGAATGAATCAAATGAAATAATACAACAAATACTTCTCAAACTTTTCATACAAGAAATCCCACTGAGATGAAAAAGATATAGAGGAATAAAGCAAGCAGACTTTTGTTTAGAGAAGCAAAACAATTACTGCTGCTTTGCTTCATAAACTAATGTCCTAGAGTAGTTGAGTTTCTCATTGCATAGTAATTTGATTGTGTTTAAATTTTGAGCTATTCCTCACTGTAAATGTATTCTGGGAATTTACTGAACTGTTTGAAATCAAGACATCACAGTATTTTTAGTGACATATAAATATACATTCATATATAGACATGAACGTGCATAGCTAAAGCATCATTTCTAATAGATGTAGGCTGCTAGCTCAGTAGAGCTGCTAAACAAGCAAAATAGCACAAACTAAATGTACTAGTAATTGACTCACCTAATTGGGTTGTGTGATACAGAATCACTTCCATCTTAATCACACAGACAAACGTGGCCTTACTGTGAAGCTGAGCATGCAAACATTGTTGTAACTAATTAGCAAAGTTTGCAAGCATCTGTGCTGTGGAAAACGTGCAAGACATTTCACAATTACTCATGACAGAATATTTTACTTTAAGCATGCAGCATGAATAAATAGCCTAAGTCCTAAAAGCATGCCATACGTGTACATTAAGTGTTGTCATGCAGGGTGTCAGGAAGTCTGCTTTAGGTGCATGACATGCAACTGCCATGGCCTTGTGCAACGACTTGAGCTATTACAGAAGCTCCCAAACTGCCCTGCAAAGCACTTGCTCTCCAATAGTCAGCTGAATAATGGCAGTGTCATTGCTGTCAGATTAGGACTAAACCTCATTACCAAACCAAATTTTCTGATACTTATACTCAAGAATGTGCATACAAATTATCCTAATTATTCTCCCTAGCTGACTGGGCAGAGCTTGTGCTTTGGGGCATGCTAGCTACTCAAACCTGTATCATTCAGTAGCCAAGCACTGAGAATTTGAACTTGCAACAATGAGGGTTGCAATTCAACCCATTTTTTTTAATGAAGATTATATTTTTTAATATTTACAGAAAGATTCAATTTTTCAAGATTTTACCTCAACAGACTATCAAAAAACAGGCAACAATAGATCACTCGTGTACAGATAAGATACTTGACAAAACTGGAAATATCTACCAATTCCAAATGGGAACATTGTTGGTGTGTGACCCTAAACAGGGGATGAATGGGAAGGATAAAGTATGAGAAGAAAAAGACAATATGTTGCAAAAGAATTGTACATGAGGTTTACCAAATATTGTTAGCCTTGGTGTTTCAGGAAAATTAAGGTTTCCCAGGCAGTATCAGGGATAATTATAAGACATGTAGAAACTGGAGCTGGAAACATTAACTGCACTTACAGGTCTCCACACTATTTTTGTTGTCTCTGCTTTCTCCTATTCCTTGTGCTTAACACAATTGTTTTTTCACTCTTCAGGTCTACCCAAGCTAATCTGTATTGATAGTGCCTTCCAGCTGTGTTATTGACAACTATGTGAAACCTCAGCAGCAAGATTTCTCCACCTTTTTTTTTTTTTTTTTTTTTTTTTGTGGAAATGTTGTTACTGAAAGTGCTAAATGTAGTTATTCTCATCTTGCTGATGAAGAGCTCCTAGCACATCCTCCACTTAGCTGCAGATTTCTTTTAGCAACAGTTATCACTAAATTCTCCTTCAGGTGTTCCTTTACCAGATTGCAGTTCCTTTGTCTTGTAAAGTATAATTGAAAAAAATTTCATTCTAAGCTTTGCTTTTACAAAGGGAGTAAATGTAGTTCTGAACTTTGGAAAAAACCCAACATTTGTTTTATGAAAGAAGATATCAAATTCGCCTGACACAATCCACTTTCAATTCACATATCCTGTGCTTTCTCCCTTTTTCTATCTGGTTCCATGTCATTAAATATTCTTTCCTCCATACTTATTCTAATATCTTGTTTACTGCTGATATAAGACAAATAATTATATGTGCTCTTATCTCTTTTTTCTTCTTAAGTACAGGCACAATATTTTCTGCTCTTGAGACATACAACACCATGTGAATCTTTCTTAAAGTTCCTGATCCTGGATTTGTACTTCTGTATGTGAAGTGGAATAGAGTCTATCTGGTTTCCTCGGTTTCTGTAGGTAGAACTCTCAGTTTAGCTTTACCTCCAATGTGACAATTTCTGCTTCCACAATCTCATTTCTAATAGCTATGCTGTCTCAAGATCATTGTCTCTGCTGTAAATTTAGGCAAAATACTGATTTCCTTTTATGTCCCTGAGTGGATTATCACAAACCTTCGTACCACTCTTATTAAGTAACAGCTTCACTTGTTCTTCATGGTTTATACAGAGCCATCTCCATAAAAATATTCTCTCAGTAACATAACTTTCATGACAAGACAGAACTGTTAATTCAACAAATTTTGTAATATTTTCAAAGTTCTGTTGTCTTGCATCATGAACTCAAGTCCTGCTTTTGTTTGCCCAAGCTTATTATGTTGATATACAAATGCTTCAGTCATTCATCACTAATCTATCCCACTGCCTACCTGGATTAGGTTTAGCCCTTGCTAACCTCACTACTGTATGCGCCACAATTATGTTATTCTTTGTCCCTTATCCATTTATCCTTCAAAGGCTCACTTTTCTTTTTTTTTTTTTTTTTTTTTTAATGCAAAACTACTTCCAGCTAAGTGATATTTCTCCTTTTAGTATTTTTTTAACCTTCTGGTCATGTAAATTAAAAAAAAATTATCTAAGTGTCAGCCCTATGACTCTTTAGCAGGTGACAATACATCTTTACCTGTCTATGCAACCAGGGACAAATCTTCCCCTCACAAACTATGTCCCTTGTCTCTACTTGGAAGTTGTCACTGTAACAAGGCAAATCCTCATTTTCTGGATGAGGCCATACTCTACAACTCCTCCTTTCCAGCAGGTCACCACTCAGCTGTAGCTGCTGCATCCAGTCATCATTGCCTTGGCCACACATTGGGTCAATTCTCCTGCTGTACCAGCCATCTGTTTCATCAGCTCTTCTTTTGGTGTACATAAAGAAGGGAAAGAGGAAAAAGCTTGCCTAAACTCCAACCAAATTCTTTTTGTTGCTATCTGTTTGCCAGTTAGTTTTCTGCCTGGATTTTGCTTACTATCTTGTTTTCCTCATTTTTAATTAGGAGTAAATTTTCCATTAGGTGTGACTAAATGCTGGCAGCCTTCCTTCACCACCAGGTGCAGGACCTCTGTCTTCTCTCAAACCTACAGTGTCACCCAAACCACCACCACATGTAACTACAGGTTGCATCCAATAAAGAAAACAGGCAGTCAGATATGTTTGTTTACCCCCGATAAGATATTGCAGCCTTAGCCTTAAGGAACCTTTGACATGCATTTCTGTCCCTGGCAGGGACAACAAGAAAACCAGAATGACTGCCCTAGACAACAACCAGCTTTTAGGGGATAAACCCTTAGAATCTGGACATAATTTAGAACAAAACAAAACAAAATAACCAAACAAACCCCACAAACAAGCAACCAGGGAAAAAAAAAAAACAAAACAAAACAAAAAACCACCCAACCCAAACCAACAAACAGAAAAAGCTTTAATTTTTGTAAAAAACATATTTAGAAAATAAGGAGGCTATTTCTAAACTGATCATGAAGAATAAATGTAAATAGGTTCTCAGAGGGAGATGTGAATATGTCAAATATGTCTTAGAAATAAAATTCAAACCACCTCTAGAAGCTTGTAGCATTAACAAAAATAAAAGCCTATTAGTTAACAATTTAAGGATATCATTGTAGAATGTATGCCCTGAAATCTGTCTACATAAACTGAAGCAACTGGGAATGCCTTTCCAAAGATTTTTAGTTAGCTGAAATATTGCCCATCTATACCATAAATCTGGATTCTGACCTCTTCCTATAAGGAATTTTAATAGCTATTTCTCAGCAAGGTAAGGGTGTTCACTCAGCACTTCTTCTTCAAATTGGCAGCTCTGTCAAAGGTTACACTGTCTGAGGCCGTACTGGCCTTGTGAGGGAGAAACCTTGGTAAGGAAGCCTCTAAGCAGATCTGGTAAACACTTTGCTAAGCCAGTATCTTAAGAAAATAATTCATACCTGTACGAAATTGCCATCCATGCTGCAGTGGTAATCCCCAGAGAATATTGCCACTGTTTTGGGGTCCAAAGGCATCAAAATATTTGGCTGAAGCACTCAGCAAACTCTTATACACTCCCAGTCGACCTTGATAGTTCCAAGCACTGATGACAATTTTGTTGTCCTTTACTGGGAAATCCAGCAGGCTTTCGGGGGCCAGGTCCCACAGAGGGGGATAGACACCTCCAGTGACATCGTTTTCACTCTGTGCCACAACAGTCGCAGGACTCAGGGTAGCAGCCACTACAAGAAGAGCGTGTAAGCCAAAGCAGGGCCACATTGTGAAGGCTTGTGACCCAGGGGATTGTGGCTGCAGGGCTTTTATCGGTAAAGGTGAGGGCTGGACAAAAAGGCTGACTCAGACACACAAGCCTTTGTCTCTCTTCCCTTTCCCAGCCATGACCCTGAAGTGGAGTTGCCAGACTAGCAACTGTGAGCAGTGCTCTGTCTTCTCTGTGGGATCTAGGGAGCACCAGCAGGTGTTTGAGAGGAATCAATCTAATCCGTGTCCAAATCCACGCTGTCCATGACATATGTACACACTTCCAAAAGGTTGAGGTGCTACTATACTGATTGTATAGTTGCACTATAAAACGTTCTGTGTCCGTGTTTCTTACAAGCTGTCAGCTTCCCTTTCCCAGCCTAATTCCTTTGGGTAGAGAAGGGACAGCAGTGGCAGAGATCTCACCTCAAGACACGCACAGGCTATGGGTGAGGCATTGTGGGGAGGACTCCAGGCACTGATAAAAGAGCATCACTGACACACTGCCATTGTCAGCTTTGTCTTTTGGCCTCGGGACAACTGCCTGCAGCCTTCAAGTCACAGAAGTGTTGGAAGTAGCCAGACCAGTCTTCCAGCCACGTAGCACCTGGCTAGCTGTAATTTTAGTACTGGTTTGTCTTGTGTAGAAATGGTCATCATTTTAAAGTTCTAAGGTACTGATATCCCATGATCCAGCAGACTCCAAAGGGAACACAAAGCCCATGCCTCCAGTGATAAAATTGGTGTCTAAGTTATACTTCAACAAAAGTGAAACTGTGCAGCTGCCTTCTTCTCACCTACTGCCAGGAATTCTAGGACTTTATAATCTTCAGCTGCTTTTTCTCAGCTGAAGATAAGCAATGTTTTTTTCAGATAAGCAATGTTGCAAAAGAACACTCAGCAAACAAACATGTGGTTTGTTATCTCTCTATTCTTTTATTTGAATGAGAAAAATTGCAAATGCTGCTTTTCAGAAGTAATTCTGTGAGTTTCGGTTGGGTTTTGTGTGCCTAAAGTACCTGGCTGCAAACTTCTGATAGTAAATTCAAAAGAAATGTATCACATTCAAAATTTTTCCATTTACTCTATTTATTAGGAAGACTTTCTAGTAAATAGCAGAATTTTTCAATGATCACGTTTTTTTTGTCTGCTTGTCCCCAGGTGACTGAGAGAGAAACCCAAATGATTTTGAAATACAGAAATTAACACAGATCTGATCGTGCTGTCTTGAAGAAGTTCCAAAAAATCAAGTTGTTCTTTCATTAACTTCTATGGATGGCATTTATCTAACCCAAATGTGGGCATTTTAACATTAACCTAGCTATGTAGATTCCCTTGATATCCAAATCGGAGAATCAGGCATATCCAGAATGTAACTCATTTAAAGCACACCACTGAGACATGTATTGTTCCTGACTGACTGTAAAGGGAGTAGAAATTACAAGTTTACCTTTAGACACAGAAAACAATATTTTTAGGTTAAATAAAATCAGTATTCTTTCTACTACTTTTCTGAAATAATTTCTGATTTATATTGTGAAATAATAATTTCAGAAATGTTTTGAAAGGTACTTCTTTTTTTTTTTTTTTTTGAAATAAGGCATTCTATTAAATAATCCTGAGGATAAATGCCAAGAACTGTGCTGATTGCTGATTTCATGTATATATATATATATGCACACACACTAGGATTCTAACTGAGGCAATGGGCAGTAAGGGTCACCTAAAAAGGAAGGATGATGAAAGGCATCAGCTAAGGCACAAGATATATGGAGGCAATCTATGAAATAAAAAGCACAAAGCTCATAATTGCACTAAGGCAGAAATTTTATTTAGGAACATGAAGGAGTGAGTAAGAATGGTTGGCTTTTTTTTTTTTTTTTTTTAACCATCACTGAAGAAAATGTCCAAATTGGGAAGCTAAACTCCTTCTGTTTTTCGTTAGTCAAAGGGGAGAGTTTGAATTTTTTCTAATGAAAGACACTGACATTTGTATTACATGAGTGGTTTTGCTTAAGGTACGTAAGACAAAGAGAGGTGAATAAACACCTTCACTTTTTTTTTGTAGAGATACCATATACATACATCCTCATGGTAGATCACCTGGTAGTGAACTACTGGTTCCAAGTTTCTGTGGAACTTTACTGTGCATGGAAAACTGTTCTCCTGCTCTGCCTTCTAGAAAGGAAAACCCTACTAACACTAACCTGGGCAGGCATGAAAATATTAATCATTAGTGTAAATGCAAAACCACACTTTCTCAAAAGACTTACAGTACAGAATTGAGATAAATTGATGGCTTTATGCTCCCCTTATATCAATTTTTGAGCTATTTGGTATAAAAAAAAAATTGTGTTATATACTAAATGGGAAATAATGAACAAGAAAACATCTACTTAGAAAGAGTGCTGAGTCCCTTAACTTTTAGAAGTTTCAGCCTCTCATCTTATTATGGTAATAGAAGGACTTCAATAACCCAGTAAATCTTTAAAGAGTCAACAATAATTTTTGATTAATATAATAAAAAATTCTTCCTGAAAAATACTATAATTCAGTTTATAGACCTTACTTCACCTTTGCACTTATCTGTGTGTGCAAACAAGTTGCTGAAGTTTCTGTAAGACTTTAAGGACAACAGGTTTTCCTTTGAGAAATATTTGAGCTGGTGTTTCCAGTTTGGAATCCAGTCCAGTTGGTTTGGCTGTCCTGAGGGGGTAGAGGGGAGGGTACATGTGACCTCAATTGGACTTGAGTAGTGTTGGGTCTTGGGCCATAGCACCCCTCCAGGGATGCCAGCATTTTAAGCAAGGGGGAGATCAAGGAAGACTATTAGTAATGCCAACACCATTATTCACCACTAGTACCCTAGTTAGCAAGCACCCTACCAGTTACTCAGTAAGGATGTGTTCCCAGAGACATTGCAGCAGAACCACATGCTGGAAAAAACTGTAGGATATGATTGGTGGTAGTTTCAGGTCTGATACATAATTATCAAGTTTCAAGAGAGAATGCTGCTGTTTTCAAGTGAGCTACAGATTTTGCTTCAAGAAAACTGCAGGAAAGCTAATAAGCATTAATTAGATTAGTTGAGGTGACCACAAGAAGAAATGGCAGCCCTAAGCCCCCAAACTCTCAAAACATAAGGTTCCTTAGTCCTGTTGGGTACACTGAGGAAGGAGCTGGGAAGCCAGTAAGGAAGGGATGTCAGTACTCCCAGTGGAATTAATTCAGAACTGACACAGAGTTTTGCAGGTGAGAAACCTTTAGGTAAACTGGGGATATCATTACCCTTCAGTCACATAAAATAGCACTGAATGGGAGGGTTCACCTACTTCATTTTAGGGTAACAGTCCTAAGAGGAAGAATAATGAGTTTTCATTTGTATGGGATATTGCTATGAGCCTCCCTATCACAAGGCACCTTGTTTCGTGCCCTGACTCTTGCACCAGAAATTGTGGGTGCTCCTTTTCTGTGATCTGTTTCAGGGAGAAATGATTACACTGTCGCTAAAAGTCTTCATGTAATTCACTGAATAAGCTAAAAACAGTGGATATATTTAGGTTTCTTACAAATCTCTGTTGTTATTGTCCACAGCTATTGTCTTGAACAGGCTTTCTATTTCTTTCTGTCACAGGCCTTTAGTATTTGGTAGGGAGGATCTCTCTGGCTGCAGTATCCTCCAGCAAAACCCCTTAACAGGGCTATAAAAGGGTTTATAAATTGCTACTGGTATTTCTGTGAGTAAAGGTCATCAGCCAAACCCTGTGGTCACATGAGTGGACCCAACCACTAATGCAGTAATACACGCTGTGGTAGGAGCATCTGAGGGGAAATTATACTCTGTGTGTTGTGGATCTAGCAGGAGGTGCTGCATCATCATATCCTGGCTCTTTCCTACATCCTTGATGCTAACATTTCTCCTTCTTTGGAAAACATCTTTCCCATGTTGTCTATTAATCTCATTCTCCCCTCTGCAAAAGCCTTCCTGTGTTCCCGGCTGATCTTGCCTCACCAAAAAGAGTAACCTGCACTGAAGATCCTGACAATTCAGACTATAAACTGCAATTAATCAGCACACAGAGAAATGCCAGATTCATATCTGTGGTGGGATTTTACCAAATACAATTTTTCCTTCCCAGACAAAGCAGTATTCTTTCCATGAGGCTGGCTGGGTGGAAGTCTGGCTGGACAAATGGCTACAAAGGCAAGTGTAAATCCAACATTTCCAGAGCTCTAGTTCATAATAGTAAAAGAAGATTAATTACCACCAAGGTAAAAATATGGATTGAGGTCAAGCTACACACAAGATGTGCAATGAGTACCTGGTGGTGTCCTAGGTGTACTTCCCAGATCACCGTGCTCCAGAGGAGTCAAGACCATGCTCAAATTTCTTGAATAGATTTGCTTGCAGGACCAACGTTAAGATGTGCATATATATATATATATATATTTATATAGATACATATGAAAGAAACCAGCCAATAAAATAAATATTTATCAGACCCAAACCATGAAAAGTGTAATTAACCTATAATTTTCATTTTTGTGATGATATTATGGAGGTATATTTAGCTTAGAGGTTAGTTCAGATTATACCATAATCTTCACTGCTTTTTTATCTTTAGCTTGAAGGTGAAGCTGATCATGGAGTCAGCAATCTGTAGAATTTAGCACCTACAGCGTGGTCTTCAGTATCATCTCTTCAACACCTACCATAAAATACTTCAGCCTTATTTTCACAGTGTGATGGAATTCATTCCATTGAGTCAGACTACACCAAAGATCCACTCACTGAAACATATACTTAAAAGTTGATACAACCAAAACAGATGTATTCCTGACAGCATCTGAGTTGTAAACACCTGTTTAATGGAGGAAGATGATAGTAAATTTTTAATATAATATGGCTATTTTTTCTTAGAAATTGTTGTGAAACACAGCCCTAAGACTGCTTATGAAGCCAAGAAAATCTTTCGGCTGTTTATTTGTATAAATAAACCACAAGGGAAAAGAGTAAA